GTGCGTTAATGAAGTTCTTATCTCACTCAAAATGAGTGGGATAAGAAGTTCATTAACGCACGCGTTTTTCTCTGCTTTTAACCAATCAAATAAAAAAGTCAAAATGTCAAAATGTCAAAATGTCAAAATAACCCTAAATTAAGTCTTAGACAAAAATAATTACCGTTTATTTTTTCATTTAGAGGCGTAGATAAAAATTTGTACAATATACGTGTGATAACGCTTTATTAACGTACTTTTGCGATTGCCCAACTCGTGCTACGCACTCGTTGGGCAAATTTCGCATGCGTACGTTAATAAAGCTCTCATCCCACTTATATCGTAAATAACTAAAATGGGATTTATTACACTTTAAAATCTCCAAAAATTGCGTTACGTAATACTTGAACGCTCCCTAAATAAAATATTGAGTTAATTTTATACGGAAACTACACTGTGAGACAAAGTTACCCGCAACCAGGGGGTAACTTCGCACACCCAGTTATTAATTTTAATTTTTGAAAGTCAGCAACATAGTTATTATGAAAGAGCAACTCAAGACTCAAATTTTGGTATACAATATTTAATAATTATTGTTAAAACCACAAAAATTTTAAGCTTAAGTTTGAAAGTGAGCTAAAGCCACCCGTGTTTACGGTATTGGAATCTAATTATGCCGTAATTGGGAAAATTTGTGAAAAAAGTTTATAAAGTCGCATAGGCTGTGGAAAACCATGACAAGATTTTGTCGATAGTTGATAATTGTGATGACAGATTGACATTTTATCAAGAACAATTTGTTATTAAATTACAGCAACAATTTTTTAAACGAACAAAAACTGGTAATTTTAAATGAAAATGACGATAGTCATTTGAATTGTTTAAAATGTTCGCCGTTATTATTCATATTAAATGTGTCCTTGAATCCATGGAATCGACAGCTCGTTAAATATATTCTCTTGGAATGAAAGCAAAAGCACCTTGAATTTTGAAGCGAAGGTGTTCAACATCATTTAATTTAGTAGGGGTTGCATATACGGCATCTTTCACAGTACCCCATTAAAAATAGTCCATGAGTGTAAGACAAGATGAGCGGGGGGCCAACATACCGGACCATCCATGAATTTAGAAAACGCGCATCCAAAAATTTCCTCACAATTCGAGCGTTGTGCGGTAAGGCAACATCCTGTTTAAACCATTCTTGATTTTGTATTAGGGCCAGCGGTAATTCGTCCAGTGCTTGTTATTATTGAGAGTTTAAGAATTCCAAATACGTAGGGCTCCCCATTTAAATTGCCTTCAATGGAATATGGCCATTGAACTTGATTGGGCAACCCGGCCAGACATTTAAAGAATATCTTATTTGTGGTCTAACTATTTTGATTAAACAAGGATTTTTTGTTGCATAATGATGGCTTTTTTTCCTGTTGTACATTCCCGAATTGGTAAATAATGACTCATCTGTCCAAATGATTTTCCTTGCAAACTGCTGCTCTGCTAGAAGTTTTTCACGAAACCAATTACCTATTTTCATCACCAGAATGTTTGTAAGGGTTTAAACTTCTAATCAAATTATTTTTTTTATGATTTTTTGAACTATTGAATCACTGCCCCCACATTCTGGAGCTATTTTTCGACTGGAATTTTCTGGATCCATTGTTATTTGGGCCAATACGTTTATTTCATTAAAAGTGAAAACTGCACGATGACCTTGTTGTTTTTCTGAATACAGATTCGCATAATTTGCAGCTGATGTAGTTTCTTATATAAACGTTGTACGTTAGGGTGGAGTGAATTTTTTTTTATTTATTAATTGATTTTTCCTATATTATTAATTGTTGACTAAAGGCGTAAAATGAATAAATATCGAAAAAATATTCCAATTTTTTTATATCTTGAGGTGGCGCATCAGTCTCGAAGTTTTTAAAATTATAAAAAAATATTACTTCAATCAAAGTAATAAAAATAGCATTATTTATAAATACAAAGTTTATTTTAGTAAAATTAACTTGAAACGTAAACATATTTAATAGTAAATCATATGCTTTAAGTAACTTCAGGAGTGTTTATTGGTAGAAATGAGATCTTCTTTTTCGCGAAAATACTGACATTTGGTATCAAAATTTGGTAATTATTTCCTGACTTTAATTCTTGTTCTGATGAAACCATCTCTTGCTTCCGATCCACAAACCGAGACTGAAGATTCAGTATACTGGTTATAACCAGTTTTACACAGCGTTCCACTGCTTGGGTGTGACACGGAAATTTTTGGAAATATAGGAAATGGTCACCCGAAGAAATCATATCGGTAATTTTTGTTATCGTATTTCATAGTCATAGGTGGTTCAGTTACCTTTTCTGTCGCCCAGTGAATTAACTCGTAAAAATGTAATGCTTCATTACTTAGTTGTGAAAGCTTTAATTCCCGTAATCTCGAACATTTTGATTCTTTTCTCGCCTTTAATATTTTCGGCAATGCTAGTTCTCTGATCGATAAATATATAGTAGGTAACATAGCAAGTTATAGGTTTTCGGGATAAATCTTTCGCTGAATATTCTTTATAACCATAGTTATAAGGCCTTTAAGTTTTTCTGGAGGTGTAATGCTCTTTTAGTCATAATAAATATGTGAATAGGACCATGTTTGCACGTAGGCTTGGTGTTAATGTAAAACCACGTTGGGGCATACACTTTCATGATAAAAGTAGCCAATTCTTTTAGGTTTTCCGATGGATTTGCTGTCCCCTCATATAAACAAATAATCCTATTAGCACACGTCAGCCATAGGGAATGTGCTAGCTTTCCTGGATCTTTGTTAGCTATAGCTAACAAAGATCCTTATAAGGAAGTGGGAATTGTACCTTTAATATCTAAATTCAGCGAAATATTTATCCCGAAAACCTGTTACTTGCTATGTTACCTACAATATATCTATCGATCAGAGAACTAGCATTGCCGAAAATATTAAAGGCGAGAAAAGAATCGAAATGTTCGAGATTACGGGAATTAAAGCTTCCACAACTAAATAATGAAGCATTACATTTTTACAAGTTAATTCACTGGGCGACAGAAAAGGTAACTGAACCACCTATGACTATGAAATACGATGACAGAAATTACCGATATGATTTCTTCGGGTGACCATTTCCTATATTTCCAAAAATTTCCGTGTCACACCCAAGCAGTGGAACGCTGTGTAAAACTGGTTATAGCCAGTATACTGAATCTTCAGTCTCGGTTTGTGGATCGTAAGCAAGAGATGGTTTCATCAGAACAAGAATTAAAGTCAGAAAATAATTACCAAATTTTGATACCAAATGTCAGTATTTTCGCGAAAAAGAAGATCTCATTTCTACCAATAAATACTCCTGAAGTTACTTAAAGCATATGATTTACTATTAAATATGTTTACGTTTCACGTTAATTTTACTAAAATAAACTTTTTATTTATAAATAATGCTATTTTTGTTACTTTGATTGAAGTATTATTTTTTTAGAATTTTCAAAACTTCGAGACTGATGCGCCACCTCAAGATATTAAAAAATTGGAATATTTTTTCGATATTTATTCATTTTACGCCTTTAGTCAACAATTAATAATATAGGAAAAATCAATTAATAAATAAAAAAAAATTCACTCCACCCTATTGTACGTATCAAATATTTCTTTGTCATTAAACAATTGAAATAACTCAACAACCACTACTTGTAACAACCATTTGACATTTTTAATGATTTTGCAATTTTATTCATAATAAGATCACAATACTTATATATCTAAAAAGATTATTTTTTTCTTTATCTGGTACTTTCAAAAACCAATAAGGCGCCCATAAGAAATTGAAAAGTTGACTAACGTTGATCAAAATCTGGAAGGCCTAGAATTTTTTTGACAGCTGTCAAAAATACAAAGCCACCAAGTTTTATCAACATAACTAGCACAGTTGTGCATCGGTAACTACGTCACTGGCTGTGGTACATACATTCTAAACTTTTATAATATAACCTTTATTTCGTCTATATTTTATTCAATTTTACTTTTTAGGTGTCGTGTCAGGCAGGTCTATTTGATTAGATTATTATGAAAACGTAATAAAATTTATTTAGCAGTATATTTGAAGGGGCCATCGCCCCTGTCGTCCCCCTAAAAAACCGCCACTGGGTTAAAAGGGTATAACCTGATTAAAGAAAGACTACAAAACGTGATTTATTTCTAAATGTTGATGTCGTTTTTTGTCTATATATAGACTTGAACATGAAAGCTTAAGACAAAGGGGAAACGTTTGGCAATAAATATTGCGAATATTTTTATCACGTTGTAGATATGCAAACATTGCTCGTAAACGAGTGTATTGCACATATATTTCACGTTCCCGTTGGCCGGGTCTTTTTGGCAACTTTCAATTCTGCGGTGGTCGAGGCAGAAATTTACGATGTCATTAAAGTTGGTGACGAGCGACCCCGTAGATTACGTTGAACCTTAGAGTAACAAAACACAATAGAGGAAGTTATTTACATTTTAACGCAATCGAACATAAAGGAACATCCTAAACACCATTTTTTGATGTTGCCAGGTGTGCTTATTAGAAAACCTCTTTTATTTTTCTTAGGTTAACAGTAATTATTATTGCTTATCATTTTATTTATTTTTACAAAAACTACATCAGGCAAAAAATATATTACCTTTAATTAATTTGAAATTTTATTTGATTGCATTTTTTAATTGTTTTCTAATGACGTTTTAAGTTTCCAGTTTGTAAATTTTATTATTTAAAACTGAGCTGACAACGCTGCAGTAATTGCTTTTATAACAGTAAGACAAGAAACGCTTTTCGTCCTTGTTTATTTAAACATCGTAGAAAGAGACAAAAGTAACCTAAGAAAGTGTGCCGGTTTCTTCTTATAATACGTCACTATTACAGTGTTGCGCGTTATTAGATTGTTTGTTTGTGTGAATTTTTCCGTGTTTTTCAGTTTTTAAATACAATTTTAAGGTGATTTTAGACAATAACCATTTTAATATGGTGAGACAGTGCCAAGTGTGTGGTAAAGTTGATGCCACAAATCCTGAACTTTCTTTTCACCGGTAAGTAAGGTTATGTTCTTATGCTTAGGTTTCAGTGGTGTAGATAAGTTTTATTATTATTATTTAGAAAATATTCTGTGTGAGGATATTACTTGCTTAGGCATATAAACATACTGCTATAACTCTAATAAAAATAATCATTCTTTTTTTAGGTTTCCTTTAAACCCAGAGAGGCGAAATTTGTGGTTTAGCCTTTTGGAATTTACACAAAATAAAAGGATACCAAAAACAGCTGATGTTTGTTCTCAACATTTTGATCCCAATGATATTTATATCAGATCAAATGGATTTAAATATTTAAAGGCGGATGCAAATCCATTGCCAGCTTCTCCACTATTTGAACCTAACTCATCAAGGTATGGCAAAAAATAATAAATAAATATTTAGTTCTCCTAGTGCATGCAAATAATATTAGTTAATTGTTATATAGTTTTTAATTAACCAATATACAGTATATTTTACTTTACATGGAAGCACCCCTGTATTTTCTTTGTTTTTGTAAGAATTGATTTGATTTTTTTATCAGTTTTACAACTCACCAAGAGGCATCTATTCATGTCCTTGAGAGAAAAAAATGTCATTAGCCTGGCCTAGTGGGATCAAGACCATGGGTCATATTGTCAATATTTTGCTTTGCGTTAGAGTTAGGTACAACAAAAAGTTATTAAGAAAAGTTTTTTAGATTGAATAGATTACCCTAAATATCGACTTTCAATTAAAAATTCCATTTTTTAATTTTTATCCCGTTAGTTACGTTTATCCATGCCACCCTTTGATTCTAAATTTAAAGTTAAAAATATAAATCAAATCATATAAAAACAAAGAAAATATAGAGGTGCTTAAAACACACTAAATTAAAAAATCAAAATTTACCCTATTACTTTCTTAATTAATTTCATTTTAATATTTTTTTAAATCTGTAACAGCCACATCACACATAAATTTATACATCAGCAATTGTACACTAAAATTATTAATTTAGTAAACAAAGAAAATGTGACGAAAGTCATTCTTTAAAATAAATTATGTAGTGTTTTTTTATTTTTAGACAAAAAAATACTTTAGTAGAAAAATCACACATTTTATAAAAAAAATCTGTTATCTGTAATGCTGTTATCTTTTTACAGCTCAGAATCCCTGGAATCCATTTTAAATGAGAACCCCAAATCTTTAGAAGTTCAAAGCACATCGTAAGTATTTTACAAGATAAAAATTTAAATTTAATCGTTGATCAATAAAGGCCTTAAAAAAATTAAATCTTTAATTTTAGATCTGCAGAACCGTATTCAGATGCAGATGGTTCTCCTAATAAACTGCTAGAAAAGATTACTTTAGGAGTAGAAGTTTCCAAGACTAGCGGAAAAGTTTATCAAGGGTGTGTAATTTCTGACTTATTTATTATTTTTAACTTTTTAATAGATCTCTAATTTAGAAGAATACAGTGTAACTTGTTTTAACTGAACAACAATATAACTAACTTTTTATTTTATCAATAACTGTAATATAAAGCATTTTGGCATGTTTGTAGGGCCCCATATGATGAAACTAATGAACAGGAAACAAGGATTGCAACACATTCAGATGATTTTGATTTAAATATTGTACCTTATTGCAAGCCAGGTACTTCACAACCTAAAGATGGACAAAAAGTTGAGTTTAAAAAGTACCAGTCATATACTACTTCAACAGCATCAGAAACAGAAGAACAGATTTTAAGTATGCTTAAAAGCAATCCCTCAGAGGTTCCAGAGTCACTTGTGGGGCCAGATTCTGTATTTAGAGGAAAACTTGCTTTGGTTAATGTTCCCAAAAAAAGGTATCTACCATATTCCTTTTTTAATATTAATAACAACTTTAATTTGCGATTTACACATTTTCACAAATAAATATATTAATTTAATAAATTTAACACTAATTTGTAAAACAATTTTAAGGAAGAGGGATGCCTATGTTGGAGATTTGAGTAGTGACGATTTTGATTCTCCTAAAAAGCGTAGAAGAAAGATTGCCTTTATTAAAAAGGTAGTTGAAGAAAAAAGAAAAAAAGTGCATGGTTTGCAAACAACAGTAAGACGCCTTAGAAAAAGGATTACTTCATTAAAGAGCCTTCTAGATTTATTTAAAAAGAAACTCTTTATATCTGAAAATTCTGAGAGCATGATTAAGGTATGGATTTAGTAGTGTTTGTAGCAACTAAAAATTTAGATTTTGTCAGCTTGTAAGTGCAGGGTCTGGAATGAAATCTGACAGTTTTCTAAATGGTATAACTTAGTTTTTAAATAAATTGATGAGTTTGAAAAAAACATATTTTTTTAATGTTAAGTGAAAATTTGTTTAGATTTCAGACAAAACTCATTTTCACCTCAGCAAATGTGTAATAAAGCAAAATTGTCGTAATAGGGCCCCAAATCGGGTAATTTGGGGCCTAATAATCACCAAATGCCTTTTCACTATTGAAGAGTAACTGTCTAGGCTGTAGTGTGTAGATTTTTTCATAATGTTTTTTCCACTTTTAAATTTTTAATTGTGAATTTTCATAATTTTTAACAATAATAAATTGACTAATTTTTGCTTTACACTCTTTTTCAATTTGTTTCATAAGATATGAAAAATGTCCGCTCTTCCTCTTTACAATAAAAAAATATGATTTCTTTTTAACTCAACAAGTTATTTCATTTACAAAACCATCAAGTTTTACTGCCGGACCCTGTACAAGCATTAGGTACTTGAAAAATTAAATACTTTTTTTGTAGGCATCTTTACCAGACCAACTTGGTGAAATTTTTGAAAGATTTTTGAAGGGACCAAGCAAACAAAAGTATACACCGGCTTTAAGATGCTTTGCGCTTACCTTGTCATTCTACTCAACTAGAGCCTACAACTTCCTTAGAACTACATTTAATCGAAGCTTGCCTCACTTGGCTACAATTTCCAAATGGTATCGGTCAGTGGATGGATCACCTGGATTTACCAAAGAAGCTTTAGCCGCCTTGAAGTCAAAGCAAAATGATTCACCTGTACCTCTCTTGTGCAATCTAGTCATGGACGAAATGTCAATTAGAAAGCAAGTGGAGTGGACAGGAAACAAGTTTGTAGGGTATGTTGATGTGGGCACCCGTCTTGAATCAGACAGTTTACCCAAAGCACGAGAAGCCTTAGTATTTATGCTCGTTTGCTTAAACGGTTCCTGGAAACTACCTATAGGATATTTTTTATTAGATGGACTAGGGGCATCTGAAAAGGCAGAATTGGTCAAAAAATGTTTACAGTTCATTGCAGAAAGTGGTGTTATAGTAACATCACTTACCTTTGATGGAGCCCCTACAAATTTAAGTATGGCAGAAAAGTTGGGAGCGAATTTCAGTGATCCGAAAAATTTAAAGACCGATTTTCCACACCCCACATTAAATTATGCTATTTTTATATATTTAGATGCCTGCCACATGGTAAAGTTGGTGCGTAATTGTTTTGGGTCTCAGGAAGGTTTAAAAGATAATAATAATGAAGATGTGAAGTGGTCATTTGTAGAAAAATTGGTAGAAAAGCAACACCTTGAAGGGCTGCATGCTGGCAATAAACTTAGAATGCGTCACATAAAGTACCAAAGGGAAAAAATGAAAGTCCGTTTAGCTACTCAGACTTTAAGCAAAAGTGCTAGTGATGCTATAAACTTTTTAAGGGAAAATATACAAGATCCAGATTTTGCAAATTCCGAAGCTACATCGGCGTTTCTTTTAAAATTTAACGATTTATTTGACATTTTGAATTCCAGGAATAGATTAAGTAAATATTTTTATAAAAAGCCGTTTTCACCTGCCACATATGATACTTTTATAAGTCATTTAAATAATATGAAAGAATATATCTTAAGTCTTACATTAAGAAGTGTACCTATTGTGAAATCAATAAGAAAAACTGGGTTTCTGGGGCTGTTAATATGTATTGAAAGTATTATTAAAATGTATAATATTTACGTTGTTGAAAAAAAATATTTAAAGTATATATTAACATACAAGTTGTCTCAAGATCACTTGGAGTTATTTTTTGGAGCCATACGTAGCAGGGGAGGGTATAATAATAATCCCAACGCAAAGCAATTTGAGGCAGCCTATAAACGTTTACTAGTTCGAAGCCAAATTTCAGCTCCAAATACTGGAAATACTTTAAATTTAGAAAGTATTACAATACTTACTTGTGGTTCTGGTAGGCTACAAAAGGATGAGGTTAAGGAAAATGGTGGATATGAAAAACTGTTAGAGTCCTTACAAAATGAAATTGAAAAGGAAGGCTACCTTATTTCAGAAGGTTGGGACTTAACACTTTATTCAAAAGATATAGTAGCGTACATATCCGGATTTGTTGTAAGAGGCATTAAAAAATGTGTTGACTGTCCTACCTGTCTTGCTCTATTAGTAACTGAGGAAAGTATTTCTGAATTACAAAAAAAAAAAACTTATGGAAGGCTTGTTAAAGCAAGCAAACTTGTTATTGAAACCTGTAGGGCAGGAGAAAAGTTTTTTAGATTTTTCCATAAAACAACAAATATTTTTAACCAAAAAATTGAAAATCTTTTACAAATATTGATAACAAAATCATTACAATTTATTCCATCTTCGGTCTACGACGATTTTGGGGATCATTTTTATGACTCTCATATTTTACTAGATGACCATGTATCAAACTTATTAAAGTCAATTTTAAAAATTTATTTTAACTTAAGAATTCACCATCTAGGAAAACAAGAGGAGGAGGTTTTAAAAATAAATAGGTTAAGAAGCATAAATACCAAAACAGTCCTATTTAGAAATGAATAAAGAAATATATTAAATAAAATTGAACTACTGTACCTATAATATTATTAAGATGTAAGAGGTGGTGTTAATTTAAATTTTAAATTACTGTAAATTTAGATTTAGAATCTACTGTAAAACTTTGCATAGACTTGTAACAACAAACAGATAGGTAGAGCAAATCCTACAATGCTTGGATTTGTTACAAGTCTACAAATATGTTTAGCTTTAGCCATATGTATTCTGCATAATTTATTATATTTATATTAAACTCTTCTACCAGCTTTTTATTAACCCATCACTTCAAAAAATCATTTAAAAATATTGTTTTTTATTATATAATTTTATATTTTTGTTGGTTGATTAAAATTTAATTTTTTGTTCTGTAACACTGGGTTTATTTTTTAATTGTATTTTTAAGTGTGCCTTATAATTTACTAAAAATCTATTGTTTACATTTTTTTAAAGCAACTACTTGCTTTTTAATAAGGAACTTAAAAATTTAAAGCAACTACTTGCTTTTTAATAAGGAACTTAAAAATATTTCCATAATGTATAAAATTTACCTTGGGATTTTAAGCTTAATTTTAAGCTTTTAGCATACTCTATTGTTTCTTGTCATATTAAGCCTAGCCTGTATAAATTAAATCTCATTTACATTTATAAATAATTTCTCATTTATAGGTATAAATAATTTTACAGAAAACCAAGAATCTATTTTTATTAAATAAAAAAATATATTTACCGACATATGGAACATATTAAAATGAAGTTAAAATTTTTTAAATGTTATTTGCGCAATCAAAAAATACTTATTTCAATCAGTGCAATATTTTTTACCCTTAAAAACCGCACGTCACTGGAGAAATCTAAACGCAAGCCACGTGACTTTATAACAGTGTTGCCATCAAAGTGTTATTTGGTTGCCATCGCGATGCATCGCTTAGAATGTGCTTAGTTCTCTGATCATAAACAAGGACGGTTTTGAACTGTTATGCTGCCTCTATTGTGTTTTGTTACTCTAAGCGTTGAACAAAGCGCAAGATGATAACTTATTGTCACATAAATGTCCCAAAGGCTCGCTCCGAATTTTATTATGTTAGCTGTCGCTTGCTTTATTTTCGGATGACCGTTAAAAAATGATTGGTCCCCCATTTCAATAGTTTTACGATCATCCACTTTCTATTGTGTCTAATTTATGCAAGATTAAATTTTAATAATGTACAGTGATTGTTATAAAAGTAATAAAATATTTAATATTAATCAGGGTTACAAACTCAACTTTATTGTAGAGCGATTTGTAAGTACTATACATTTCTGGTGCATTATAAAAAAATTGAAAAACGGCCACTAAAACATTACCTACTAGGTAGGAAAGTGATTTTTATAGAAAAGCACTAGCCGTGTAAAAACTAAAAGTGTACAAGTAAAAATATTATTATAATATAATATATAGGTATAATTTAATTTTACGATAAAGGAAAAACTAACTAGGTTCTTGCGTATTTCTAGGAACAATATCTACTAGGGTTAGTACTGGTTGGTAATTTAGATGAGATGATAGGTAAATATAAATACACATATGTATAAATAATAGTAGATTATGTCATAAGGAGTAGAAGTGGCTCTTTTTGTGGTGAGTACAGAGATTGACGGCCGAAGCGTAGCTGAGGCAGGCAACTGTACGAAGCACAGAAAGAGCTTCTACTCCAAATAACATATACAATTTTTTTTTCAAGGGCGTAATATAAATAGGATAAGCAATAGAATCATTTTATTTACTTATAACTCATGTGGTATAAAATTTTGGCTAAAAGCATTAGAAATTATTGATAAAAAGTAAAAAAACTCATAACCCTTACTTACAATGCCGATAAATATCCTAAACCATACATAACAAAGCCTAAACTAAAAATAAACACTGCTCTGTCAAAATGCTGCGCTTGAATTAATTTTGACGTACTGACATTTGTTTGGAGTTCCGACATTGGCGACTCGTCTATCATCATTATATTATACTAATAAACTAGTTGTTCTTTATTTCGTTCAATTAAAATTTAATAAATAATCACTAAATATTCCGTGCGATTATAATTAATATAATTAATACATCGTGATTGCTTTGTATGAAATGCTAAATTAATTTTATTATTTGACGTCTATTGAGTCACCTATGGATTTACTTCTATCCCTAGGCTTTTTTGAGTTTTTTGTCTGCCGCTAATGAAAAAGACGTACTTCAACTATCTCTATACATGCATATAACGTTGTATATCATGGCCGCTTGAAAAAAAATATAATTTCTGTACTTCTTTAGATAATTTTACAATTACTTTCTTAAGAAAGTCAAAATGTTTAATTAACTTATACGTTTAGGTCTATTATAATTATTTATTTGTTATTTAAGTTTTTAAATAACAATTTTCATTTTAAACATAACCAACTTTTTATTCATTAACTTAAAATATTTAAAATTTTAACAGTTAACTACATACAAAGATACTACATAATACAGAGTGCACCAGTACCGACCAAACGATCGAATATGTGAGACCTTTTACAAAAATCATTTACAAAAATAATCAAAGACAAAGACAAAAGTACCTATTAAACTTATAAGTGCTGTGCCAAAGTGCTAAGTGACACATGTGCAAAAGAAAACATCGCGCCGGCTTTTGAAGGACATAATTAGATTTTGCGTTTTTAAGCTCTTGTACTACTTTCAAGAGCTTAAAAACGCAAAATTTAATTCGCAATCTTTACTGATTTGCATTGTCTAACAACCCCCTCAGGCGGGCTAATCGAAAAAAAAACTCAAATCGGCGCTGGAGGGGAATGCAACTAAAAAATTGTATGTGAATTTATGAAATTGGAAATAAAACAAAAAATGCAACAAGGCTCGTCTCTAGTAGATCTAAGTCATGGTAAACATAATAAAAGGCTTAACGACACATTACGATCTTCGCACAATGGGGTAAAATAATTTGAGTTTAAAAATATATTTCCTTTAGTTTTAGCTTAGTATAATAACGACCGGCTAAATAGCTGTATTTTCTTGAAGGCGGTTCGGAAAAGAAGCAGCTGAATCTTTCTTGAAATCAGATGCTTATTTTGAACAAACTGACATGGAAAGAAAAATTTCGGTTCTGAAAACAAGTATAGGTAGCGCACATCTGCTTCCTAATTTCTAAGCTTAGTAAACCTCGACTGGCTGAATACGGCTAAATCTACCTTAAAGTCAGTACTTGGAATAAGCAGTCAAATCTCCCTTGAAGTCAGCTACCAAATAGGAGACGGAGACACAAGAACAAGAAGCAGTACACAACAAAAAAAACGTTAGGTCCTGACAGCGAAATAACAACACAAGGCCGTAAGCAGTACCCCCAAGTGGTTGGGGGTCCAAGTTGTACCTACGTTTAGGTCGGCGTTATTGTCCCCTGAAAACCAAAATGTCTACCCTCCTAGTTCCCAATTTCCCTAGCCCTCTGGGCGTATAGTCCGCCCTGGCTCAATTCCAGAAAGGGTCACTAAATCCATCGGCATGTCGCTTACGAATCCCAAAACCGTAAAAAACTGAGGTGGACATCCGCATTCAGCAAACACAGGTTAAGCTGTGCGGTTGCACTTTCGGGCCCGAAAGAGACGATGCGAATGGGGCCAGCTATAGGCTCCTTATATTCATGTTCATGTTCAATACAGGGTGCACCATCCCTATAAATATGAGTACTTTTTTTATTTGAAGAGCTACAAGGTCGGTTAAATCTGCGGTTCTTCAAAAAATTTGGAAAAATACTAAAAACCTATAAAAACCAAAATTTGTGATTGTTATTTCTGGAAATTTAAAAACAGTAAGACATTTATCTACATTTTATCCAATTTGTGATTTTTTTCGCCCACTAGATTTTACTTTACCACCACCATCTTTTGATTTTCATATGACCGCCTTATTGGAATTTTACGTGGTTAGAAGGAACTTTTAAGTTATAATAAATTACTTCATACAATAGTGTTTTTTTATAATTTACTTTAAAAACAAAATTATAGTAGTGTCTAAATAAATCAAACCAAATATCCCTAGACAATACATGTTCATAATCCAGTGTTGCCGGATCTTCTATACGAGAATCACAGGTTGATAATTTTGGTTGGATACAAAAATGTACTGTATATGGCACTTCTACAGGCATAAGTGCATACGTGAAAAAAAATCATTAATTTTTTAATGTATAAGATATGGATTAATTGGACATAGACTATATGCCAAATGTAGAAGTGGCATATAAACTTAACTTTTTTTTTATCAAATTAATTTCCAAAAATTTTATATTTTTCTTACACGTACATGGGGATCCTCCATCTGCTTAAATTTAAAAGTTATATAAAATTTAAAAGTTATATAAGATATTTAATAATTGAACAATCCTTCTACCTTCTATGGTTTTCTTCTCTTTGTTATATGCTTTTATCTTTAGACTTTCGCTGCATTCAACATACTGCATGTTTTCTGTTGCTTTATGTTTTGGTCTTATACTGTTTTAAATAGGTTTTTCTTTGTAGTGGACATTCGTTTTCACAACTTATTTTTAGACTTTAAATACAGAATTGTGAACTTGTCACATTTAAATCCTATTTTTTACGTTGTTTAATTTACGTTTTTGTGTTAGAATATAGCGCCTTTTAAATTAAAATAAAAAATATACATATAAAATCCGTTAAAAAATTGGTTGTTCTTTTTAAAAATCAATTGTAATAAAATGACAAAATAAAGTTTCTTTTTGTATTATATATTTACTATAAAAGCAACTCCCCACAATGTACTGCCTGAACCTCCTGAAGATATTAAAGTACTTAAGAACTTTTAAATTTTAATTAGTTTAATATGTAATAATGATTTCTTCTAGTACTACTGTTCAAAAATGTATCAAAATACCTAACGTTTAATCGTACCCTTTTTTATTAGGTATTTTTTTATATTTTGCTCGTAGGGTAAACATTTTTATTTTTTATATCTCAATTACAAGCAG